AGGGCGTTGAGGTCCTACTGTATGTAGGTATGTGTAGCTCAAAATATATTTGCGTGTGTGTACAGGAAACGGTTAACTGTTTTCACACATCCTCTCTCCTCCGTTCTTGTTAATCCCCTGTCGACCAGAGGTTTCACTGCTGAATCTCCTCAGATACTTAGGAATCAAGTTTACGGATCAGTGGGAAGGGTGTGAGAAAAAGACTGGACTGGACTAGACTGGACTAGACTGGACTGGACTAGACTGGACTATAGTGGACTAGACTGGACTGGTCTGGACTAGACTAGACTGGACCAGACTGGACTGGACTGGACTGGTCTGGACTAGACTAGACCGGACCAGACTGGACTGGACTGGACTGGTCTGGACTAGACTAGACTGGACTGGACTGGACTAGACTGGACTGGTCTGGACTAGACTAGACCGGACCAGACTGGACTGGACTGGACTGGCTGGACTAGACTGGACTGGACCAGACTGGACTGGACTGGACTGGCTGGGCTAGAGTGGACTGGACTGGACTGGACTGCAGTGTAAAAGGTTGTAAGAGGATAGAAAGTTGTGAGGGTAAGACTGGTAAAAGGTGAGTTAGTAGATTTAGAGCAGGATGAGTGGACTGTTACTGCTGCTGCTGTTACTGCTGCTGCTGCTGTTACTGCTGCTGCTGCTGGAGTGGAATGCAATAAAGTGAGTCCTTGGCTGCATTAGTGGGAACCTGTTAGGAAGGTGACAGATGGGGGGCTAATGATGTGTAGGAGTAAGGGCAGGAGCTGTTGTTGTGAGTGAGACAATCTGTAGTGGCTGTCACAATACAGCTGAAACCCAACAGCTGAGAGCAGTGACAGAGGAGGAGAACGAGGAGGAGGAGGAGGAGCAGATTGAGCCGAGGGCCTTTCTCACGTTTGAACTACATCTGGCTTCAAATGAAACATTTATTAGTCGTCCTAATCCTACGTACTACTGACTAAAGGTCGGACTTTAATCCTCATGTGTTTGTTATTCCCTGATGTGATTCTTGGAACAAAATGATGAAAGCAGAATGGATACACACACACACACACACACCTTAGTATAAATATTTGATGTTTGTGCTGTAACATCAATGCTTCAGTCATGGTTTAGAGATCAGTCTATCAATAACTTTGAGGGACCGGTTTGTAGTTTCTCCATTTTTTTTTTTTACAAACCAATATGTGTGGGAAGAGTGGGTGAAGGGGTGACGTGGTGACGTTTCTGCAACTAAATTGTGTACTAATTCCTTGTCTGTTTGTACTGTCTAATCCGCTGACGTTCAGCAGTGACGTTACTGGAGTCACTTTGGACCAACGCTTGGGGCAGTGCGTTTAATAAACAGCAGGTGGGGCTGTTGAGTTTCAAATCAGTTTGCAGACTTGCTTGACCTCTTTATCGATCTATTACTGGTTCTAATTGTGAATTGTTTTGGTCAAGACTGTGTTGTTCTTTTGGATTTGTTGTTGTTTTTAAAGGCTGTGAATCCAGGGTTGGATCATTCTTCCTGTAGCTCAACTTTGTCTTCGATATATATATATATGTGTGTATTGTCATAGCCCTGGCTCAGAGAGCAAGACAAAAATGGGAGACCACACACTTTTAAGTAACTTAAAACAAAAATATTTATTTTCTAACCAAATATCACAAACCAAACAGGAAGCAGGTGCTCTGAGAAATGGTCGGAGAGAGAAAGAATGAGAAGGAGGAGCCAGTTAAATAACCTAGGCCCAGCCTTCCAGGTGCACATCCAATTAGTAGCTCCACCCATCTACCTGGAAACCTAAAAGAAACAGACACACCAAGAAATGACCAGAAAAGAGGACGGGGTCGTCACAACGATGCCAGAACATATTTCCAGTTAATCTTGCACTAAATCTAGCATATTTTTGCCTGTTAAACACGTTTTCACAGTCCACATGATGTTCTGAAGCATAGGTATGAAGTTACAAGAACATTGTCACTGAGTTCGAAAATGAGCGTTTCTCAGTGAGAGACGCACGTTTTCGACATGCACTACATTTTCTTATAAAACGATGGCAGAACACATTTCCAGTTAAT